ATGTGGCAGTGAATATATATATATATATATTATATATATCGTCACAAACAGATATTATATATATATATATATATTTTTGAACGGGGCCCTTGTACAACGCCTCTTTCCTGTCTCTTATACACATCTAGATGTGTATAAGAGACAGGAACAGGCCCGTGCCGAAAACTCGAATACAACGTGTATATGCGTTATGTTGTTCCTGGTGGTCTATTTGGGTAAGAAGAGATCTTGAGGCTGTAAAGCTCTGCTGAAGGAAGTGGAATTGAAAGCAAGAGGGCTTGGCCGTTGGAAAAGCATCTTGGGAAAAGGCTATCTGACTAAGAAAACAGGAGGAAGGAGGGAGGAGGGAGGAGGGAGGAGAAGGGACGGTGCGAAGAAGTCATGGCAAGCATCTTGAAGAAGATTGGTGAGGCTTTCACCTTTGGAAAGCCGACCGCCGATTTCAAGGGGATGAAGATACCGCACATCTCAACAAAAGACATCAAATTGGTCTTCCACATCGAGGTGAAGAACCCGAACCCGATCCCGATCCCTCTCTGCGACATTGTGTACAAAATCGTGATCAATGACCGAGAGTTTGTCAAGGGGACCAGTCCCGATGCTGGGACATTGCACTCTCACGACTCCAAGGTGATTGATATCGGGGTGGATCTTGTCTTCAAGGACATCCGCGACACATTTACCGACTTGCAGCCCGGCTCAATGGTGAATTATTTGCTCAGGGCCACTTTTCTTGTGGATATCCCTGTCTTTGGGCGATTCGAGATACCGATCGATCACGACGGTGAATTTCCGATGCCAGCGATACCCGATATAGATGTGGACGAAATAGATTGGGTTGATTTGTCGTTTACGGAGACGAAGGCGGTGGCGTACGTAAAGCTGGAGAATTTAAACAAATTCACGATGAAAATCAAGACCTTTGAGTACAAGTTGTATCTGACGGACGATCTGATCTCTGAGGGGATGATGGACCCGTCGATGGGACTGGCGGAGAAGGAGGTGACCAGGCTGACGGTCCCGTTCACGTTCCGACCCAAGGACATGGGCCGGGCGATTTGGGACATAATAAGAGGGCATGAATCTGGGTACACATTGGAGGGAAAAGTGACCGTGGAATCGCCGTTTGGTCCCATTGAGCTTCCATTTAAGAAGGGAGGCGCTACGACGTTGAAGAAGGCGAGATCGACGGATGAAGAGACGGTGAAGGAGGAGGCTGAGAAGAGTGCGGCGGCTGCTGCCGCTGATGTCGATCAGACTGACTATTACGCATGACCGGTTCTTTGATGACCATTTGAGAGGTGGGGAGGAGGGGGGGGGGGGGAGGTAAGAAGATAGGGCACAGAAGAGAGTCCAGATGTACTTACTTTGAGAGGTGGTTATGATGGCTATTTTTGGGCTAATGGAGGTGTGGGTATGAGCGGTTCTTTGATGACTGTGTCACAGAGGATGG